GGGGTAATTATTATACCTAAATTATTCCTTAGTGAGGTATACCTAGCTATAAGGTATAATAATTTCTCCTGGTTTTAGACTAATATTATTATACTTAGTCTAGGCTATACTAAGTATCTTAATTATCTAAAGAGCTATCTATAATTTATTATTAGCTTATATAAATCTTATTTATTTCTTACTTTTAAGGAGCTATTATTACTATAGCTAATAATAACCTTTTTTAATATTATATTACTTCTTATAATAGACCTTCTCGATATAGTTTATCTTATAATAGTATTAATATTTATATCTATAATAGTTATATTCCTTTTATTAGGTTATCCCGAGTTTTATAGGTCCTATATAGGTTTTATAGGATATATTAGTTTATTAGGATTTCTCTTAGTTAATATTAAATTAAGGTTTTTAATAATTTTCTCTATTATTATAGGGATTTTAGAGTTTTTTCTAAGAGAATTATTAGTTATTAATCTTAATTACTTCGCTAATATAATTAATAAGGTTATTAGGCTAATCTTCCTTATAGAGTTTAGCTTATATTTTTTTCTTAAGTTTATTAAAAAAAAAAGATATTAGGGGTTCTTAGTCTTAATTAAGCTTTAAGGTAAGCTAAAGGTATTTAATATTATATTTTAATATAAAGCGAGTTTATTAAAATGCCTTAATTTCTTTTTTTACTTAGGCTTTTTTATTTATTATTCTAAAAGCTTATTAAAATATAGCTTTAAAGGCTTTAAAGCTAAAATAAAAGTTTATAATTTATAGTAAGTATTTATTAAGTAATTTAATAAGATATTTCTTTATAATAAGTTTAAATTAAGCTATAATATACTTAGTAAGATACCTTATAGTATATTAGACCTTATTAAATATTATAATAAATTAAGTAAGGTAATAAAGCATAAATATATATAGCTATATAAGGAATATTAATAATTTATATATAGTATTATTAAATTTCTCTAATTATTCTAGCTTTAAGATTTCTCTAATATCTTTACCTTTTATAATAATAATTATTATATTATTAATATTCTAGATATTCTTATAGTATTATTAGTTTTAAATTTATTAAGTAATAGCTATATAATTAATAAGTCCTCTAAGTTCTTTTATTTTAATAGTTATAATAATAACCTAGGTATAAAATTACTTAATTTCTTTATTATTATTATTTATTTCCTTATTACTATTAGGGTTAGCTTAAATTAATATAATTAAGGTAAGTAAGTAATTAATAGGTAGAATCTACTAATAGTTATTACTAAGAATAGCCTAAGTAGCTATTATATTTAATATTATTTAAGGTAATATAAATAATCCTCTAAATAAGAGCTATTAATATATAATAAGAGGATATTTCTTAAGGGGATAAATTAATTATATTAGGTTTATATTAATAGAGGAGAATATTATATAACCTTAAAGGGTAATATAATATTATATCTAATAATATACTTAAGGGTATTAAATATAACTAAGTTATATTAATAGCTAAGGTAGCTATTATATAAGAGGGTATAATAAGTGCATTTTATATACTTATAGTTAATCTTTGGATTAATATTCTCTAGGTTTAGTCTAGGGTAGGACCGATATTTTTAGCGTTTAGTCTCTAGACTAATACGGCCGATATTTAGTCCCTTTGGTCCCTTGCTTAGTTAGAGTGTTTTTGCTATCTTTCCCCGCCTGGCCTATGTCATGGCCGTGATAGGTGTGACCAGCTTTTTAATAAAAGCACCTTTTTAACTACTTCTGGGTCTAATCTATTTCTAGATTTAGTAATAATATTATTACTAATAGAAAAGGTGCTTTCTATAGAAGCAGAAGTAGCGGGAATAGCTAAATAGCGTCTAGCTAATATACTTAGAATAGGAAACCTAATACTATTGGTTTTCTAATATTCTAAAATATTAGCCTATAATTAAATTAGTAAAAAATCTATAAAAAATCAAATAAAATACAGAAAAATAGAGAAAAAAAAGAAAAAAAGGGGGATTATTTACCTCTTTCCCTAGCCGGTTTTCACTTAAAAAAACCCTTAATTCCTCTTCTTCTTTACCTTTAGAAGAAATATATAAATCTCTTTCAAAGTCAAATACTTATATAGGTGGGGAGCGTGATTTTTAGCGGTCTTCTAAATCTTCTAAATTAGAAGGGTTTAAAAGGCTAGCCTTTTCGCTTTTAACCCTATATAATATTAGTATTTCTATTTAAAAAATTAAGAAAAAATAATAAAAAATTAAAAAATACTTATATAAAGAATTCTTCCTTAAAAAAGCTAAGAATATCCTTACTAATACTAGGATAGTGATATAATAAGCCTTTTTGCTAAAATTGAGATATCTTAAACCTAGGGTCTAAAATAATCGCAAAAAGAAAAGGCTTATAATCCACTAGCCTAGTCCTAGAAAGAAATCGAGGAAAATATTTCTCTAGCTTATTAATTCCAGCATTTATAGCTAGATTTAAGCTAGAGAAAAAGGGGTCCTTTAAAAAGTTAGTATATATTATAAATAAATTTAAAAAAAAAAAACTAACCTTATCTTGCTTTCGGTTATAGCCTAACTGCAAATCCTCTAAGCTATTATATATAATATAAATATATAATAACCCCTGAGAAATTGTAGTATAAGCTTGACCCTGAAGCTTAATAGAAGGTCCTAAAAAAACCTTAAAAATACGCTTTAACTCTACTACTTCAGCCCATTCTTCTTGAGTTAAGAACAGCTTTTTATATTCCAAAATAGTAGTATTTTTTGAAATATAAATAAGCGGCCTTTTAAACTCTAAAAAAGTACTAAGCATAAAATAAGTAGAGTTCCAGCGTGTAGAATTATCTATAAATTAATTAGTATTTTTTTCTTATTTATTATAAGCTTATAAGCTTAAAGGAATAAAAACAAAAAAAAAAGGGAATAAATTTACCTAAAGGAATATGCCGCTTCTCAGACTCAAATAAGCCCTCCTTAGTATACTTCTCAATAGCCTCGCTTAATAGCATTTTAGGCTCTTGGGTATACTTTAGAATAGTTATAAGCCTTCTAATCCGGCTAATAAGGCCTAAAAAATAGTAATATTAGTATAAATATAGCTAAATAAAAAGAAAAAGAATTATAAAAAAAATATAACTTACTATTAAAAGCAGGGCTTTCAGGTTCCTCTTCTTCTAACCCTATATTATCACTATTAAGCTTATTTATAGCATTATTAGCATAGCTTAATAAGTGATTTTTTAAGGAAGAAGAAGAGAGATACTCTTTAAGAATATCTTGCGCAATTAAATTAATAATATGCGCTATGCAACGAATATCCCCTTAGAAATCCTTATTAATATCTTTTTTATAAGATTTAATAAAGGATTTTAAAAAGGTATTATTATTCGAGGTATTATCCCTAGTAATACTATTATAAAATTAGTAAATAACTAAAAAAAAAATAAGAATTAGAGAAAAACTTACCTAAAGATATTTTTAAGCACTAAACTAGGATATATATGTAAAGCTTTAAAAAACTCGCTATAAATATATACCCCAGTATGGCTCTCAGTTAGGTTATGAAAGCCTAGAATAATTAAAGAAATAATTAGTAAAAAAAACCCTTAAATTATTAAAAAAAAAAGAAAAACTTACCTATTAGCCTATAATTTAAGGGAAAGCTAGCATCAATAAATATTACTATTATCCCTAAATAAGAGACCTGATTTGCTGCAGTCCAAATATCTAAAGTTAAGGAAAAAGTCCCCAAAGTAGATATATTAGCTGCTAAAGCAGAATTCAGGCTAATAAGGCTAGAATTAAAGGTATCTAATAAAATACCTTTAATTTTATCCCTATTTATTATAGGCCCAGCACTAAATATAAATTAGTATATATTTTTTAAAAAAAAAAGAAAAAAACTTACTTATTATAATAGCTTAATAGCTCTTGAAAAGAGCTAGAAGAAAGAACCCTAAAAGATAGATTATTCTCTATAAGAAAATTAACTATCTTTTTATAAGCTTCAGCCTCTAAAAAGCGGCTATTAGAGCTTATAGAAGAGCTAGGCTTTTGCCTAAGAGAAAAAAAATCTCTTTTAGGCTGGTCTAGGGTATCTCTTTCTATATATTAATATATTAGTAAGAAAAAACCCTAAATTAAAATTAAAAAAAATATATAACTTACTTCTCTTCTTAGAAGCTTCTTACTTTTTACTAGTAGCAATGCCTTTATGCCTATTCTCATAGTGGCGGACAAAGTTAGAAGACTTATAAAGTCTTACTTTTTCTAACTTTCTATAAGAACAGCTATAAAGAAATTAGTTAAAGTTAATATACTTTATAAAGTATATTAAAAAGTAAAGAAAAAAATTAGAAAAAATCAATTCTTATAACCTTATAAATAAGGCTATATAGGAATAAAATAGAAATTTTTATATACCTTATGCAAGAAACGAGATATTCTCTCTCATTATTAGGGATTTCAGGTAATAAAACCCTAGGAAAAAGACCCTCTATAATAATATAGCCTCCAGAGCCTTTTTCTTCTATATTAGACCCTTCAGCTGTAGAAGAAGGTCTAGGGTAGGCTGGAGAAGAAGAAGGTATAGGGTAGGTCATAGATTCAAAAGGTAAAGGTCTAGCTTCTATAGTACTCATAACATTAGTCTCAGAAGTAGAAAACTGAGACTCAACGTCAGAGGGACCAGTAGTAAAGCTTGAATTCATTTTTAAAATAAAATAGAAAAAAAGGGAATTTTAATAATATATAAATGATAGGGTTAGGGTTATTAGTTGTTGAGATATTGCTGAGTGTTATTAAAAAAGGTTTTATTTTTTATAGCTTGAAGGCGATATATATAAATTCTTTTAAAAAAAATTTCATATATTTAATTTATAAGCAAATATAGAAAAAATTTTTAAGTCTGATATTTCCGCCTTAAGTCCACTTAAATCCGTGATTTATAATCTTATAAATCATTATAAATCACTTATTCAGCATTTTCCTTGATTTCTAACTAGATTTCTTACTAATCTGATTATAAATTACTTATAAATTATTATTTATATATTTATAAGCAATTAGTTAGTAATTTCTAAGTAATTTCTAAGTAATATATATAGAATTATAATTTATTTTTAGAAATTAACTTATTTTTAGATATTTCTCTATTTTTAGACTATTAATAAGAAATTAATAAGCTATACTCTATATATAGATATTATTTTTCTTATATATATATATAAATAGCCTTATACTAAGCCTAAAGAAGTAATTTACTTATTAAAATAAAGAATTTTTTTTTAATATATAAATAGTTAAAAAACTAATAGTTAATTTTTAATAACTAAAACTAAAATTAGTAAGCAAAATTAAAAACTAAAACTAAAAAAAAACTAACTTAGTTTTTCTTACCCTAGACTAAAACTAAGGTTAGTTAATTAACTAGTAGTTTTTTAACTAAAGTCTTAGTTTAGTTAGCCTTAGTTTAAAAACTAGTAGTTTTTTTCGCAACCCTAGCTATATACCAGGCTAGTTTCTTTCGACTTATAAGGTTTAGTATATCTAATATATCGAGCTAGAATAGCCCCGGCGGCATAGGGAGGAGCCCTTTGCCTTCTAAATAAGGCGCTTATAAACCTATCTAGCGTATTAGCTAAGTATATATCTTATACTAGTAAGCCTTACTTAGCTGCTATATAGGATCTACCGAGATATTCTAACCTAGCTTCCCTATATCTAGAAAAAAGAAAGCCCGCTATAGCGGCGAGTATCTATGCTATAGTTATATATACTTATCTTATTATTATATTTATTCCCGCGAATAATATAGCGAGTTATACTTATTAGCTAATATATCGCTATTAGAGATTAATTAACCGGAGGTATAATATAATATTAAAGAATGCGGCTACCTATTTATATTACTTATTAACCTTAGCTATATTATATATAATTAACTTTATATTAGCTAAGCTATATTAAGTCTAAGCTAGATAAGATTATATAGCGCCTTAATTAGTTAGCCTAGTAAAGTTAATAACCTTATTCCTTTATAGCCTTAGCTAATACCTACTCTCTAGATAAGAGTATTATTAGTACTTAGAGTCCCGGCTATAATATATTAAGGCTCTATTATTATTATTTTACTAAGCGAGGAATAAATCTTAACTTTATTAGCGGCTTTTTTTAAAGCTAGAGCTATATACTATAAGTATATAATATCTTATATATAACTATAGTATTAACTTATATAATACTATACTAATAAGAAGCTTAAGGATTTAATTCTAGATTATATTACTTACCTTATATTTAAGGACTATTTTAGATATACCTATACTTAATTATACTCTTTATTCTATAAGAAGACCTTTTAGAGGTAATTTAACTAAAGAGAATTATTAAAATACTTATTACTCGCTATAATATTATATATAGTCTACTTCTTGATAGATAAATTCTTTAAGGGCTATAAGACTTTATTATTATTATTCTTCGCGAATATAGTATAAAGATCTATTATTATACTTTACTTCTAAGACTAAGTAGAGGCTAATATTATAATAATAAAGACTATTATATTTTTATTTATTTATAATTTTATTAATAAGGCTACTTTATTTAAGGCATAATAAATTATTAATATTTAGCCTTTTTAGCTAGATATAATAGGTATAACTTAGCTTAAGTTAAAATAGGACTTATTATATATATATCCTAAGACCTTTATTTAATATTAGACTATCTAATATTAATCGGGGTCGCTAAGAAAGAGAAATAGTATTATATCTTCTAGTCTATATATATACTTAATAGGCTAATATCTTATATAAGGGCGAGGCCGCCTATAGTACTCGAAGCGAGCTATTAGCTCTCGCTCTTATATAATAAGTTATTATAGAGAATAGATTATAATTCTAAAAGCTATAAGCTTAATAATATTCTTAGCTAAAATACTAATATTAATAAGTATCTTAATTACCTAGCCTTTATAATAGCCCTAACATCTATAATTAGTTATTATACCTAGTATATAATATAAGAAGATAATAATTAGTAATAAAAGCCTCTATAGGATTAGTCCTTAGATTATATAGTAATATATTTTAACTTACTTTCTCTAGAAGGCTACTTTAAATAATTAATTAATAAAGCCCTCTTTAATTATTTTATAGATAGGATTAAGATTAATACCGGCTTAGTTAGCCTATTAGTTTTTACCTAGGTCCTTTTCTATTTATTTTATTACTTATTAAATTAGCTATTTCTTCTATACCGAAGGGCTAATTCTATTTATACTAAGGCTCTATATATATTCTTATCGCGAGCTTTAGATATAAGTCGCGAGTACTCTTAGAAAATAGTCTATAAGCTTTAAGATATAAAACTAGCGGGCTATATACTCTATAGCTTATTCCTTAGCTATTATATTATTATTACTAATAGGGTATATATTATATATATCTTTTTAGGTAATTTAATTATTAAATAAGAGTCTTTTAATTACTTATTAATTTATCGCTAAATCTTAGGTAATTTATCTAGGTATTAGCTAAGTTACCTCTCTATAGTTAATTCTTTTTTACCTCTTTATAATATCTTAGAGCATAAGAGACCCTAATAGCTAAGTAGAGGTATATAATAGATAAGTTTATTAACTATGCCGATCGGTTTATATACCTTATTAGTCCTATTAGCTATATTTAACCTATAAGTAATACTAATTATAAACTTATATAGTCGCTATTAGATTATAATATACTTATTAGCGCGCTAAATAGGTTCTAAGAGATAGAGAGCTATATAATATTTTTAAGTAATAATAATATATTAATTAGCTAATTAATTAATATAATTCCTATAGGTTTTAATTAAGATTTATTAGGCTATTTTATTATAATTAATAATTAACCTTATTATTATACCTAATATATCTTATTTATATTAGGTAATCCCTTAGCTAAGCTTTAAGAAAGGGGGTAAGTATAATCCTTAATATATTTATTAATTTTTAGGTATCTTAAGATAAAAGGAAAAGGTTATAAGAGAAGTAATTACTTATTAAGTTTAATTAATTATATAAAGTATCTATAACTTCTATCCTTATACCTCTATAATGCCCCTCGTCCTCGCGATATAATCCCTATCTATAAGCTTAGTCTTCCTAGGGTCTTATATAATTCTATCTCTATCTTGCGGTTCTTATATAATAACTTAATTACCTCGGTTAGATCCCCTTGCTATATATAAAAGATATATAGCTTATATCTTCCCGCTAAGTATATTAAAGGGAGCTAAGTAAAACGCTATATATATTATAACTTCTATAAGGCCAAGTAGAACCTATCTATTACTATTCTCTCGCGAAACTCCTAGCATAGCCTATCATATAGCTAGCTTATTGGGACCATCATGAGAGCCCTGTTACCGTCAAAACCCTATTTCAGCTACCTTGATAGACCACCTTGAGGGCTTACCTTGATGGTCACGATAGCGCAGAGTGCGTAATCAACCAATTCAACTCAACTAGTACCTCCTCGCAGTTGGATTGACATCCGACCAAGTATATTTCAGTTGGATTGAAGTTGGAGGAGGCTGCTCTCAGTTAGATTGCAGTTAGTTGTTTCCGACCAACAGATATCTCCGATCTTCACGTCTTAACGCCGATCCCACTCATCACTACCACGAGGGTAGGACAATACCCTCCCTGCTCCATGACCGCATACTCTGCGCCATCCCAATAGTGTGTCGATCAAGACGAGTTCGTAAAGGTGATACCATCTTTCCCGCGATACTGAACGACCTTTCAGTCTCTGCTGACATTGTAGGGATAGACAGCAAGTCAGAGGCCATTCGAGAGAGGTTCGGATACTCCATTTCGTGCTCCTTCCACCAAGAAAGAGGGCTGAATTGGTATTTGTCGTCGGCGGGGGTAAAAGTCTGGATATAACGTTCGTACTCATCAAGCGCTGGGCGCCGTTGCGAGGGATCTCCCGCTCTGCCATCTGGATGCGCCCTTTTGCGTTTGCCGAGCGAATGTGCCAGGAACGCGTCATATCCAGAGAGCGCCCTTCGGCTGCTCGCTGTCGAAAGCATCGCTAAGCCAGGAACCACGCGAGTAGCATACTCCTCCTTCCACATCTTCTTGAAGCTCGTCGAGTAGTCTTCTTCCCACTCCGTCGCATCCGCATGTCCTTCCCAGTGGTATTGAAGCGCCGGCCACCCAAAGCAAGGGTGAAGGACTACAGCACCGATATATGCAACAGGCCATAGCTTATCGTAATACTCGTTAAGCTTCATCCACGCAAGGTTGATATGGGTAGCAACCATATCAGCGCTGTCCTCTCCCAAGCCATCAAGGAGGTCATGGTTCTGCTTGAGCTCCTCTAAATGCGTTAAGAGATACTCAAAGGAGGGAAAATACTCCCAAAAGGAGCCGGTGTTGACATGATCATCCTCGCTAGTCTTCGGGTTGCCTTGTAGACGAACGGAGATCTCATCAAACGGCTGCAAGACCTGAACAAAAACCTCAACCACGTCCCAGTCCTCTTCTGACAGCTTGTCGTCAATTATAGAAGGCTTCATTGACTTTCTCTTGCTCCTTCCCCACGCCCTTTCTGCCTTTTCGGCAATCCGATTGAAGTATCTACGGAGAAGCAGAGCGCGGACCATCATACGGTGGCGAGAGTTCCAGCGGGTCTCAGCGGCACTCGCTTCTTCCTAG